TGCGCACATCGCTAGCTCCCTGAATGGAGTCAAGGATGGTTACTTATCTGTAGACGTTTGCTTCTCCATTCTCTAGTTGTAGACTTTTTTTTGTACAAATAACGTGGGAGAAAAGCAGGCTTGAGGGGATGCCTATCTGTGATCTGTCCAGAATACCTTCCTTCCTTACCCAGCCCCTGGAGTCTAAACTCCTTTCCTTTCCTTCAAGGCCCTTTTCAGCTGCCCCCCACCCAACAAGGAGCAAGGGCTCCTGTTCCCGTGTCACAGATCAATAAAGTAAGGCTCAGAGAATTGTAGCCCTCAATTACTAGAGGTCCACAGTTGGAATGTCATAGAGCCAAACTAAAACCTGTGGCGAAGGGGGAGGGTTGGAGCCCCAAGGCCAGAGATCAGCCTCTTTGTAGGCTGGAGAGATGGAGGACAGGGACCTATCATCTTCACAGGTCAAGGCCCCGTCCTCCATCTCAACCCTGAGAATCTGTCATGACGGTGACAGGGAAGAGGCAGGTCCAATCCCAAGGTTGGGGTGGGGGTGGGGAGGGAACTTTGGCAGATCTCGTCCTGGGCTGGCTCCTTCATTAGGACCCTTCCCCCATCCTTCCAGCCTGTGCCTGAACCCTGGACCAGACCCAGTCCCCACCATGCAGGCCAGCATTACTCACCAGAGCCCAGCATGGCCAAAATGGGCCCATCTGGCCCAAATTACCCATCCCAGGACCCATGCTGGTGGGCGGGTATGGCAAATTGGGTGATGGGCCCCAGCTGCGGGTGGCCTGGGTCCCACCCAGCCACTCACAGCCACAGGACAAGTGGCGGTCCAATGAGGGTACTTAGGGAACTCCTGTCACTTGAGATGACCCCTAAGCTACCCTGAGTCCCCAACCCAGCTCTGCAGACCTGAAAAAAACCTTGGGCAAGGAGTTGGGGAACCTAGCCCACCAGACAGTGACCTTGGGCAAGTCTTCTGGGCCTCAGTTTGTCCATCTGCAAATGAGAGGCTTGGGGGAGATTTGTGAGAGTCTCATCTCCTGAACGCACTTGCTGTTTGTCTGCTTAGGGTCTGGGAGTCTGCATTTTCTGCATTTTAAGCCAGGCTCCAGGAGGTCTGTGACTCCTGGGAGTGAGCGAGAGCAGCCTCCTTATAGCTCTGCCTCCCCTCTCCCCCCTGGGCACCCTGGCAGCCACACATTAGCAATCCCAGGGAGCTGACAGAGGCATGGTGGCGAGCGCACCTGGCGGCAGTAGCCTGGCCCAGGGCCCAGGGAAGAGAGCAGATTTGAAACTGGCATTGGGATCGTAGTGGTCGGGACTACCTAGGGGATGGAGCGCAGCAGATGAGAAAAAGAAAAGCATCAAGGATAAGGTCTCGGTTTGGGGCCAGTTGCAGAGATGGGAAAGATGGGGGTAGTGAGGGAGAGTCAGCGGGGATGCAGAGACAGGGCAGTGAGTGCTGAGGAATCAAGGGATCCATGTTGGATATTTTTGCCTGAGACGCTTGTTGGAAGCCCATGTGAGGATGTCAGGTTGGCGGCTGTGGAGGGGAGAAGGGTGGTGGGAGGCAGAGGCGGCACCGTCAGCACTTGACAGTTGTAGGACCAACAGGAGCACCTGCAGCGTGGGGCCTGATGCATTTGGGGCCCCGAACTCTTTGTCATCTGGTCCTGGGTGAAGCTAGTAGATCAGTTTTCAGAGCAACACTTTTAAATGTGTAAAATAAAAACCCAAGACCACCCAGCGATGTTGCCACTGTCATCAAAACAGCAAATAGCAAGCCTGCGCTCTAGTGGGAAAGCTGTCTGGGGGTGGGTTGAGAAGGTCCATCATTCTCAGGTCACGATGAGTAAAACCAGTATTTAAGATGCTGTAACAGGGGCGCCTGGGTGGCTCTGTCGGTTAAGCATCTGCCTTCAGCTCAGGTCATGATCTCGGATGGAGTCCTGCATCGGGCTCCCTGCTTAGCGGAGAGCCTGCTTCTTCCTCTCCCTCTGGCTTCCCCTGCCACCACTCTTGCTCACTCACTCTCTCTCTCTCAAATAAATAAGTGAAAGATTTAAAAAAAAAAAAAAAGGTCTATAACACTTGCACTATGATGTGCAAGTGATTTCTATTGGTGATTCTATTGGTGATTTCTATTGGTAAGAAAGTTGCTGGATCCACTAATAGTGCCATGTGTGGCCTACACTCATAATGGAAGGCAATGACAAACTTTCCTTACAGGTTAGCAAAAAAAAGAGTTTTTTCTCACCCAAGGTCATGGGCCCCCTGAATTCTCTCTGAAGACCCTGTGGTCCCCACTGAGGACCTCTGACCTAGGGAGAGAACATACAGAGAGACAAGGGCACAGAACTGGGCCAAGAGCCCCCTGACATGTAGGAACCTGGTTAAAGGAGGAGGCAGAGAGGGGGTGACCACGGGTAGGAGGACAAATAGGAGAAGGAGCATCTGGAAAGTGCTTCCAGAACTCGGGAGTGGCCATCTGCCCTGAGTGCTGCTGAGGGGACGAGTAAGAGGACATGGAAGGGTCCCTGGGCCTCCCTTGTTTAGGAGAAGACGACGACGAGGCAAGTTAAGGAGAGAAGGGGCTCCCAGGGCTGGGGAGGCGGGCTGGACACAGGATTCAACAGGATGGGTTATAGATACAGATATAGATATAGATATAGATATAGATATAGATATAGATATAGACAGAGACATAGATATAGATATAGACTGATTGATTTGAGAGAGTGGTCAGGGAGAGGGAGAAAAGCAGACTTCCTGCTGAGTGCAGAGCTTGATGCAGGGGTTGGGGGTGTCTCACGACCCAAGACCACACCCTGAGCTGAAACCAAAAGTCAGGTCAGCTGCTCAGCCCACTGAGCCGCCCAAGCACTCCAGTATGGGTTATACTTTTTTCTTGAACGGGGTAAATACACAAACCTCATTATATCATTCCTTATGCTTCTTTGTATGCGCGCCATACACCAAATAATACTGTTAATGTTTTTAGAGGCAAAGGTAGGGATACAGGTGAGAAACTGGAGGCAAGTTGAAGAAGTTTTGCCTTTGAGGGGACCAAGGAAATTGCAGCACAGCTGGAGGGACTGCAGGGTCAAGAATTTGTTCTTAGATGGGAGTGGCTGGGACAGCGGGGTGGGGAGCTGATGGTGCAAGGGAGGACTGAGGGGCCCACATGACAAAGACTTGAGAAGCTCCAATGGGCCAGTCTCCCTAGTCCTCGGTCCCTTTTGTGACTACCTCCTTGGGAGTTCTCACCCTTGAGTGAGCATCAGATTCACCTGCATGGCTGGGCACCACCCCTGAATTTCTGTTTCAGGAGGTCTACGGCCAGAGGTAGAAATCTGCATTTTTAACAAGGACACTGCGGCAGGGTACCCACTTTGAGAACCACTGCTGTAGTCAATACGGCATGACCCACATGCGCCCCCTCCAGGATCTGGGCTCGTTGCCCTCCTTCAAAAACAGGGGTGGGAGGAAGGGACAGGAACAGACTGTTAAGACAGAAGAAGGGAGGGGTGCCCAGGTAGCGCAATCCATTAAACTCTGACTATCGGTTTTGGCTCAGATCGTGATGTCAAGGTCCTGAGATGGAACCCCACTTTAAGCCCCATGTCAGGCTCCGCAGTGAGCACAGAATCTCCACTTGAGATGCTCCCTCTCTCTGCCTCTGCCCCACTCGTTCGTGTTCTCTCTCTCTCTAAAATAAATAAATCTTTTAAAAAGGAAAAAAAAAAAAAGGATGGCAAAGGGGAGAAGAGACCAAGGAGGAAACAGCCAGAGTCTACCCCATCGCCCTCCCCCCCAGCCAAGGTCACCACCTCTCCCTGGGGAGCGCCGGTCTTCCCAGGGACCCTGGGAGCTGCCTTGTCTGTCAGACCTCCTGGAAGACTGAGCAAGAGGGCAAGGGAAGGAGCCAGGGCTGGGGTGGGGGTGGTGATGGCTGGAGGCCAGTGTGTGTGCAGAATGGAGAGGGAGTGGAGGAGGGGCACCCGCTCTCTGCCTGTAGGCGCAGATCCCTGAGAACACTCTGTTCACCTTTGCAACTTGATCCTGGTCTCATGCCAGACAAGTTTCAACTGCCCTTGGGAAAGAGAGCAACCCTGTCAAAGATATGAATGTTAGTTCGTGGGATCCCAGAACAACCGAGCTGAGAGAACCGTTGGAGACTGTCCGGTTCAGTCTGTTTGGCAGTTGGAGGGGGCCGGAAAATACAAAGTCCAGCTGGGTGGACAGACCTGCAAACTCTTATAATGGACATGACACTGGGGGCTATTCTCCGACCCTTGCTGCTCCCCTTTTTCCATCGATTCATTGAATATGTATGTATTGAGTATCCACTGAGCACTAAGCATTGTGCTAGATACAGAGATAAAGGGGTAAGACCTAGTCTCTGTCTTCATAGAATTGACATTCCAGTGGTAAAACAAACAATAAATATGTAATATAAACTCGAGGAGTGAAAAGTGGTAAGAAGAGACCTGAAATGACATGAGGGAGTGAGCCATTTAGATGGAGGTGGGAAGGAGGGAGTTTCCAGGCAGAGGGAACAGGATGTGCAAAGGCCCTGAGGTAGGTGTCTGCTTGCCGTGTTGGAGGGATACGGCAGATGCCAGTGCATCTGGCGCAGAGTGTGGGAGAGGACTGGGAGAAGAAATCAGAGTGGGAGCAGAAGGCTAGGTCATGGAGGGAAGAATTTGGCTTTTCTTCTAAGATAGGAATCCTGGGAGGGTTTCTTTCTAGCAGAGGAGGAATTTTATTTGACTTAAGTTTAATAAGTTCCCTCTGACTGCTGAGTAGAGGATGGATTGTACATGGGACAAGGATGGAGGCAGAGAAGCCAGGGAGGAAGCTACTCGAACAGTCCAGGTGAGAGGTAATGGTGGCCTCGCCCGACAGGAAGGCCTGTGCTCGTTGCTCTATGTCCTTCATGAAGGCACAGGAAGGGACAGGAGCCTTCCTCCAACCCCTACACATGACCCCAGTCCACGGTCTCCCCACAGCTAGAAAGGTACATCCAGATGAACTTGAGGTCAGAGCTGGCCCAGGTCCAACAGCACATGGTCCAGAACCAGACGGCCACCATGCTGGAGCTAGGCACCAGCCTCTTGAACCAGACCACCGCCCAGACCCGCAAGCTGACTGACGTGGAGGCTCAGGTACGGAGGCCAAGTCTGTGGCATTGGTGGGTGGGGGGAAGGGCTGTGGCCAGCCTGGCTGACTTACAGCCTGGACCATCTGGCCTTGACCTCTGTCCCTGGATAAAGTCTGGGCCTCCTCTGGGCCTGTAGCACCCCGGGGCCCTTCCCCGATGACCCCCATCATGAATCACTCTGACCACCAGGCAGTGCCCCTGGGGGCGGGCCCTGGGCTTGGGTGTTCTGCCTCTGTGACTCCAGTGACTCGGCATCTGTGCTGGGCACTGGCATGAGAGAGGGTAGCAGCACTCAGGGGGCTCTGAGAGCTCCAGGGAAAGATGGATCGTGAAGAATTCATTCAACCTCATGGGGACAGCAGCTCTGAGATGGGAGGCAGTGGGAGCGACAGAAGGGGAGGGAGGGAACAAACGTATAAAGAGGAAGGCGAGTAAAGGAATGGACAAAAGGACTGAATGACAAATAGGCACATGTCCATTGAAACCCTACTGTGTGCCAGGCACGGCGGGAGGTGCCTGGTTCTAGTTTAGAGCAGTAAATGAAACAGGTATGCACCCCTACCCTCAAGCATCTCCTTTCTAATGACCCCCAGGAGAATGAACATGATAAACCCCCTGTATATGGGAGAGGGTGAGAGTCTCAGGAGAAACCGGCATGGACAGAGGGAGGGAGTGTGTGCTAGGAGTGGTAAAGGGAGGGCCTGCAAGTTTAGGCAGTGAAGACACCTCTGAGGAGGCAGGATCAGAGCCAGGCTCACCAGGAGGGCCTTCCAGAAACAGGGAGAACAGCATGTGCAAAGGTCCAGCAGCAGGACCGTGCTGGCAAGCTCCAGGAACATCGAGGAGGTCAGTGTAGCTGAAGCAACCAGGGGAGAGGGTGGGCAAGGGTTCACAGAGCCACTGGGGCAGAGAACATCGCAGGACGTTGCAGGCCATGGCGAGGACTGGGACTTTTCCACTACGTGCTGTGGGAGCCACAGGAAGATTCTGAGCAGATGGGCCACATTTTAAAAGGATGCCTGGGGCTGCTCAGCAGAGGAAGGAGTGTAGGGGACAAGGGCGGGGACAGGGAGCCCTTGAGGAGGGTGGCACAGGACACAGGGCAAGAGATGACAGAGGCCAAGAGCAGGGTATGGGCCATGGGAGGGGAGTGGAAGCTGAATCTGACAAGATCAGATGGGGTAGGATGGGGGGTGGTCAAGGGGGACTCCTCCTGGAGCCTGAGCATCAGGAAAAATGGAACTGCTGTCAAGAAACAGACCATAAACTCAGCAAGGGCCTGTGAATGAGTGAAGAAAGGAAGGGATAAATGAATGAACGACTATAGGATCTAACTGCTAGGAGGAGGGAAATAGATCAGCACCTTTCTAGAATGGCAGAGCCCCCAGAGAGGGGGGCGGCTGCCAATCAGGGCTCCTGCAGGGTCTGCTTCGTCGCCCCCTTCCCCTTCCTGTTTGCTGGGACAGGTCCTGAACCAGACATCCCGAATGGAGATCCAGCTACTGGAGACCTCACTGTCCACCAACAAGCTGGAGAAACAGCTACTTTTGCAGGGCCATGAGCTCCACAGGCTGCATGGCCGCAACAGGTGGGTGCTAGTGCCCTGGCACCAGGCCAGGCCTGGGGGTGAGGGCCAGCCTGGGATCCAGGTTGGCTGGGACTCAGGATGGGGCAGGGCTGGGGGGCACCAGAGCCAGGGCTGGGCTGAGGCTGGGGCCAGGGTTGGAAATTGGACTGGGGGCTAGTGTCTGGGCCCAGGGCTGGGGTCAGAGCTGGGGGCCTGGGTTAGGACTGAAGTGAAGGACCATTTACAGGGGGGTCTCAGGCTGGAGCCAGAGCTGGGATAAGGACTGAAACCAGGGCTAGACTCCAGACTCAAGCTGGGAATGAAGGTGGGCCCTGGGGCGGGGCTGGGAGTCAGACAGGCACCCCTGGGTGGAGACAGGAGACAGATATTTCCCCCGGGAATTCGGGACACCCTGATTCTTTCTCCATTCTTTTTTTTTTTTCTCCTTTCCTTCTTTGTTCCTTTATTTTATAAATTTTTAACAGTTCTATTGAGCTACAGTTTAGTTTATATGCTGTGCAATTCACCCTGTAAATTTTTATTTACTTGCTTGTAAATAAGTAAATCTGATCTTATCCACTGGTTGCCTTTCCCAGAAGCAACCACATTGCCGGCCTCTCGCCTACACAGGCAGAGAAGAGAGTGTCTCAGCATTTGTAAGCAAATACACTTGAGGGGAACACCCTGCAAATTACAAAGAATAAAAAAGTCATGGAGTACAGATAAGGCAGAGAAATGGACTTCTGAGGCTGATTTTATCTTGGTTTCGAGCTGAGTGGAGAAAAACTGTCAAGGTCAAGGTGTTAGGGGAGGCAAAATCCACACTCTGAAGCAGCCACCGGCCCGGGTGCAAGGGGAGATGTCATTGTCGCTCACGTGCTGGGTCAAGATCAGGCCATCAGGCCCGCCCAGCTCCCTCTGATCTGTGTGCAGCTAATGATAGCTTGTCCACTTCCTTATTCTTGTGCCCTCACCCCGAGGTGGGGGAGAGCAGGGACTTGGACAGTCTGAATTGTCACCAGGTGCCTAGAAGTCACAGAAGACAGACGATGTCATCAATAAGCACTTGGCCCATGGAGACAGCTAAAATTCTAGAACCCGAGTGTGCCCCCAACTTTTTCTCTTCCTGCCGCAGAATTCAGGGCTCAGGGGAAATTCCTTGTGCCCTGGCTAGACTTGTTGTTCTTGTCTGGAGAATGGGTCAGCATAACCTCATAAATAGGAGGATGTCTCCCTCCCATCCTATCCCTCGGCCACAGACCTGTCCACAGCAGAGGTAACCCCTCTTCCTAGTGTCTTGTCCTCTTCCATGCATTCAACCAACAATCATTTTTTGAGCTTTACCACATGTGAGACATTGTTCTAGACAAAGTGAACACATAGACAAAAATCCCTATCCCACAGCAGACATTCTACAAGCTGTCATTTGAAGGTTTCCTATGAATATGTAAATAAATACGTGCGCATAGTCCTTTTGTTGCCCTTCTTGAACCCAAATGGAGCGTACCACTCTGCACCTCTTTTTTCCAAATATCCTGAAAACTGTTCCATAATTGCACGACACACTTGTCCATTCTTCTCTCTAATTGTATCATGTTGCACCCTATGGCTGCGCCCACGCTTATATCCCCAGTCCCCAATTTTGGGGATTAAGGTTGTTTCCTGTCTCTTACTCCTGTTCAACACCAAGCCCCTAATTATGTCCCCATACCTCCTCGCACACACGCAGGAACAAACCAAGTTAAAATGCCAAAAGTGGAATTGTTGAGTCAAAAGATTTTTTTTTTTTTTGCTTTTTCTAAAACTTTTTTTAGAAATTCATGACAAATATGCTCCATGTTTACTATATCACCAGACCATAAGGACCTAGAAAACGAAAGGGAAGGTGGGTTCCCTCCAACTCCCTCCATCCTCCTCCCTCTCCATCGCTCTCCTCCAGAACCACCTCATCAGGAAGATGCGCTCAGGCACCGCTGTGTTCTTCCACGTGTCTTTCCATGCCTTTTCCTATCAGTTCCCAGGTTTCCCTCTCCATTTCCATGTAGACCTTTTTTCTTTCTCTTGTTTTGTCTTCTCACACATGGGGCTGCACTAGAGGCACTGAAGTGCCGGCGCGGTTCCCTCCGCGCCTTGGGCGTCTTTCCAGTTTCGTGCAGATGCGCTCTGCCTCCTTCCTCTTCGCTGCTCCAGAACATTTCCAGGGACACGGAAAGCAAACAGACTCAGCCAGCTCTGGCTGTTGGACATCGTGGCTGTTTCGTTTTTCTCTAGTATAACTAATCCCCCAAGGGGCACTCTCGCGCCTGCTCCCTGGAGCTTATCTCCTGAGAGCGGACTGCTGGCTCCAAGGACAGGCATACTGGGGATCTGGTAACCACTGCCCAGATTACTGGCATGTCCCCCACCCGCACCTCTTTCTTCTATGGACCCCAATCTATCTTCTTCCAGGGCGGGGTCCGTCTTTCCTCCCCTCCTCACTCTCTGCCACCGGTGCACTTCTTCCCCGCCACCCCCTCCGCCTTGTAACCCAGGACAGCACGCTCTGCCTCTCTGGGCCTCCGTGAGGATCTGTTCCGCGGAGTGCCCCCCAAGCCCCAGAGGCAAGCGCGCGAATGTGGCCGTGTGTGGGGACCCGCGGGATGACCCGCGTGCACCCCCGCCCCGCAGCGCGCTGGAGACGCGGGTGCAGGCCCTGGAGACGCAGCAGCAGGCGGAGCTGGCTTCCCTCCGTGGCGAGAAGGAGCGGCTGCGGCGTCTGCTGGGCCGCCAGAGCGGCGCCCTCGCGGGCCTGGAGCGCAGCCTGCGCGCCGCCAGCGGCAACTCCAGTCTCCTGCAGCGGCAGCAGCGCCAGCTGCTGGAGTCGGTGCAGCGCCTGGTGCGCGTCGTGGCCCAGGGCCCGGGTGAGCGAGCGGGGCGTCTGCGGGTGTGGGAGGAGGGCAGGAGAGGAGAGAGAGACCCTGCTCACCCTGCCGGCTCGCTTTCGAGGTGGGGGGTAGGGGTCGCCCAGAAGCCCCTGTGGGGCGGGGAAGGGCCCGGCCCCTCTCCCAGCACCTGTGAAACAGAAATAACCACCAGTAATGATAGTGGTGAGGATGAGAGTGCCAGGAGGAACCAATCCAGACTCTACCTCTTGACTCCGTGAGTGACCTTGGGAAGGCCCCCGTCCCTCTTTTGGCCTCAGTTTCCCCATCTGTTTAAAGGAAGTGAAGCTAATAAGGATACCACCAGCCCAGACTGACAAGTTTGGGTTCCAGGATCCACACGCTCCATCCTCCCTTGCTCAGACTTGCCCCACCCCTCCCCTGTCCTCAGTTTCCCTCTCTGTAGAATGAAGAGGTTAGACTCACTGTTCCCCCAAAGACTCCTGTCACCCTGTTGCCCTTGTCCCTAAACCCAGGAGAGCCAAACAGAAGTGAGGAGGTGACTCTGGCCCTAGCTTCTGAGAAGGGAGAACAATGCCTGGTGCCCCCCCCCACCACCACCAACTCTCACTGACTCCTTCTGATGGGGTCCATTTAGAGTGGCCAAGGCATTTCTGGCTTCAGCTTCCCTCAGTCAGCAAAGCCCTTACTGAGCACCCACTGTGTGCCAGGCCCAATGCCGGGTGCTGGGAACGCAGCAGTGAACAGCCTAGTCTTGCAAAAATACCCACCTGCCCATCTCTGGGTCTCTAAGTGAAGAAGCAGGAAATGAATTTTTTTCAGTACCTAGTATGTGCCACTATGTGCTAGCTGTGTGTTTGAAATTTCCAAGCCACTGAAGGCCTAAAAGGCTGTGCTGAGGAGAGAGAACATGAACTTGAGGACAGCCAAAAGCCACATGAGGGTTTTGCATCAAGTGGGACTATATTTGGGGAAGCCTAATTGGAACTGGGCAGTGGAGAATGGCTGGGTGAGAGAAAGACACAGGAAGGGGTTTCTAGGATTGCCATAGCGGAGCCTGGGAAGCCTTTAAGTTACAAGGAATCAAGCAATAGTGATGGGTTCCAGGTACAATGGCTGGCAGGGATTTGGGGCCAGAGGATGGCACCAGGGGCTTGTCTAAGTCGGGCAGGCCCTGCTGGGTTAAGGGATTTGAGGCCCCAAGGAAGCCACAGGCAGGAGAAGTGGATGCCTTCCAAACCATGCGATATGGAGTGACCCGAACCCATCACTGGCTTGTGCGTAACCCTGGCAGGGAAGCCGCCTAAATGAGTCCCTTATGTGAGGTATTGTAGCTCAGCCCCCGATGCAGACCCCGGCCCAAGACCTCTCCCCAAGGCCTCTCCCCACAGCTAGCCCGGTCTCCAGCTGTGACCCAGTGTCTGCTCCCCAGTCTGGAGAGCAGGTTGCTTTGGGCACCTCGCCTCAGGCACACTTTGCCCAAACACTCTGTCCCCCTGCCCCACTGTCACCAAAGAAGGGCATTGTCGATTTGTGCCTCCAGTCCAAGGCTCTAAGCACTCCTTTGTATGACCTAGAGAGAGGGAAGGCTTTGCCTGTGCCCCCAGCTATGTGCCCTTGTGTCAGTGACCTTACTCTTGGGCCTTGGATTCCTGGTCTATGAAAGGGGGAAGGATCTCCTTGGAGTTCAGACCCCAGTTACCTCTCCTGGAAGTCCTGGAAGGCTCTAGAAGCCTGGTCCGTGGCCGCCCTGCTTTGAGTCTCATCCCCTTCGGTCCCTGTTCCACACTCTAGCCAGAACGCTCCTCCTTGGCACAGCTCAGGCTCCTCATCCTGGCTCACAAGGCTGACTTGGCCCCTTGCTGAAACTCAGCCTCATCTCTCCTTCTTTGGTGACCATGCCTGTGCCGGGTTTGCCCTACCCCTGTCAAGTTCATCGGACAGCCAGAGTTCTCTCTGGCCTCAGCTCTGCTCTCATGGGTGGTGGATCTTTTTCTTCCTTGGCCTCCACCACTTCCCATCACTGCACACACCAGGACTGTTCCCACCTTAGAGCCCTTGAACTTGCTGTTCCCTCTGCTTGGAACATTTTCCCCTTCTCCTAGGTCACTCCTGCCCTTTATCCACATCCCAGCTCATGGTCACCTCCCCTAAGAAATTTTCCCAGGTCTGACACCTCTCCCTGTGCCCAGCATCTCCCAACCCAGAAGCTGGCAGGAAGTAGTGCCCACCTGGCCCCTTCCCTCTCTCCTTAGCTTACCTCTAATTGCTTCTGCTTTGTCCCATTGCAGCCTCTGTGAGGGCCGCTGAGCACGTGTTCCAGGACTGTGCAGAGATCCAGCGCTTCGGGGCCAATGCCAGCGGCATCTACACCATCCATGTGGCCAATATGACGGAGCCCAGGAAGGTTAGGGGACTCCCTGGGGGCTGAGACTATCCAAGGGTGTTGAGTCAAGGGCGTCCCTGCCAGGCCATCCCCCATCAGCTTCAGGCTTTCTACAACATCTGACATGTCAGAGAAGGTGGGCTGACCCTACCTTCTGGAGCCCCCATCCAATCAGAGGTCAGAATGTGGGGGTAGAGAAGTTCCCAGAATGCTTTCAGTTGGAAGGGCAGAAAATAGTCCTGTGTTGCTTAAATTAATGTTAGCTGATTCAGTAAATCAACCCTGAAAATCCAGGGGCTTAACACAAAGAAGTTTGTTTCTTTCTTTCTTCCTGATTTTATTTATTTGTCAGAGAGAGAGAGAGAGAGAGAGGAGGCAAGCAGGGGGAGCAGCAGGCAAAGGGAGAAGCAGGCTTCCCCCTGAGGAAGGATCCCAATGCCAGACTCCACCCCAGGACCCTAGGATCAAGACCTGAGCCAAAGGCAGACCAGACACCTAAGCAACTACACCACCCAGGCATCTCAAAAGAAGATTATTTCTAATTTACATATAGTCCAATTGAATGCAGGTGTGGGGGCTTTGCTCCACGTGGGAATTTAGGTACCAGGACCAACAGAGACCCCAGTGAATGTTTCCAAGTTTGCCCTGGGCTTTGAGCTCCAGTTAGCAGGTGGATGAGGGGTCAAGGGAAAGGGGGGCTATCAGGAGAGAGGGTTTGGGGACCAGGCCCAGAAATGAAAGACTATGGGGAACAACTAACCAGTCTTTGCTCTTCCTAATTCTGTTTGAATTCCTTTGAATTTCGTATCAGTTTGTCTCCAGACTGTCTTTACCACTTCACATATACCTGCTCAACTCTTCTTTTGACACAGAGATCAAGCCCTTAATTTCTAGCTAGAATTTCACATTTTTGTTTAATTTATTTTTATAATTATCTGAATAAAAACAAGTGTTACTAGTTTTCAACTTATGGTACAGTCAGATTTCCTTTTAAAATGCAGTTAATCTAAGTATTTAAGTTTTGTTTGTTTTTTTTTAAGGGACATGACTTTTTAAGTAAATATTCTACATGAAACTAAGTAAGTTCAGCTATCGTAGAATTCTGGGAGACCCAAGTTCTGGGCTCACACCTCAGCTTTTCTTTTTTTTTTTTTTTTTTTAGATTTTACTTATTTATTTGACAGACAGAGATCACAAGTAGGCAGAGAGGCAGGCAGAAAGAGAGGGGGAAGCAGGCTCCCCACTGAGCGGAGAGCCCGATGTGGGGCTCGATCCCAGGACCCTGAGACCATGACCTGAGCTGAAGGCAGAGGCTTAACCCACTGAGCCACTCAGCGCCCCTCAGCTTTTCTTGTCTCGCTTGCCTTGAGCAAGTCTCTTCTCCTCTCTGTACCTCAATTTCCCTTCTTGCACCTTCTGCTACTCCCACAACAGAAGCAACTGTCTTCTCTCCCTGAGCTGGCCTCTACCTTGTCAGAGCTGCTCCCTCCCCTGGAGGGGCCATTCCCCTTGTCTGCCTGTCAGGCACATGCCAAGGCCCTGTTCTAATGCTATCTCCTCTGAGAAGACTTCCAGGGTTGACCAGTGACTCCTTAGAAGCTCTCCTTCTAGCTACCCAAATGTTCATAATCCATAGTCTGCCTACCCCATCATGGCCTCCTCCAGACCAAGCCAGCCTTGAGGGTTGATTTATCTCTCACTGAACACCTAACTTATACTGAACTGGCTGGAAAAGGGATATGTGAACAAAGATTAGGCTGAAAGAGGAAATTATGATATGACGGATGGTGAGCCCTTTGAGAGAAAGACTTTTTCTGTCTTATCCATACTGGCAACCCTCCTTGTCCTGAATAGAGCTTGGTATGTAGCAGTGCTCAGAAAACATTTGTCTGCCGAACGTAAGAGCAATTCCTGAATCTGCACTGTGGGCCAAGCGCTCTACGCCTCTTGGCATTTAATCCTTACAACAACCTCACAATACCGACAAGGGAAAAGCCTCTACTTACTGAGTGCCCAGTACACCCAGCCTCTGTTCTTCAGATGGCTCAGCTTACATAGTTCTCACATCAAGCCCATTTGCAGATGAGAAACCAAGGCACAAAGAGGTTAAGGTCTTAATACTTGCATTTTATGAATGAGGAAAGGAAGGCTCTGAGGGGGGGTGTCGCTTGCCCACGACTTTAGAAAAATGATGACGATAAGTGGGAAATGTGAACCTGGATATTTCTGATGTCCTCAAGCACTAGGCTCACTTGTTGCTCTGTGAGAACGTCAGCCAAATCGAAATCGGGCTGGCCCAGACTTGCCTCTGACACTCCCAGGGGCTTCCGAATCCCTCCCCAAGCACCACCCAACTCCTTCCAGGTGTTCTGTGAAATGGAGGCCAATGGAGGCGGGTGGACTCTCATCCAGCGCCGTGAGAACGGCAGCGTGAATTTCCAGCGGAACTGGAGAGATTACAAACAGGTAACACTACTGCCCTGGGAAGGGGCTTTTCTCCACCCTGAAGCCTGGTGGAGGTGAATCAGAGGCAGGACACTGGTTTACCCTCAGTCCTTCCCAGAAAAAAAAAAAAAAAACCCAGAAACCCACCTAAGGACAACTACCCTCAAACAGATTTTCCCAGTGCACATTCGCTGTCAGGGACTCCGTCATTGAAAATCAAACCTTCTTTTTGCAATTCTAAGACAGACCCTAAGAATAAAAGTTTAACTTTATTTCTTTATTTGTGGAAAGATCATATATACATGTTGCTTAGAAATTTTTTTTAAGAATACAAAAAAATGGAACAGAAGAAAATAATCTCCCTACCCACCCCTGGCTGCATTGCTTAAGTCAACGTCCTTGTCTTCGCACACACTAATGTCATCACATCTGCAAGAGAGATTCTTAACATGGAATTGTTGGCTCAAAAAGACCCTATGCATTTTACAAGATGAGACATAGTGCTAGATTGTCTTCCAATTTTTTAATTAAATTTTGAATAAAGGACCTTTGGCAAGCTGACTTAAAAGCTCTTAAAGTTTCCACAAGCAAAAGAAATAGAAAAGGATACATGGAAATGCAACAGTATCATTAGTTGTGTCTGCTTACTGTTCATTTGATAAATACTTAAAAAAGAAATACAAATTAAGATAAGAGTGTCCTTGAGTCAGTTGGGTTTTAAACAATTATTGAGATGACAAAAAGGAATAGGTACTCAGACGCAGAAACACACAAGGGCAATGATTATTAATCATTAGGCTGATCAGCCGCCCTGCGTGACTAAAATGGGGAGTGGGGCTTAGGTGTGTCCCTGTCCTTGGTGCTGAATTGTGTCTCTGCCCAGGGGATTGGTTTCTCCTCGCCCAGGGACACTGGTAACTCCTAACATGCTTAGCTTTGCATTTCTATGTTGCTGAAATTTTGCAGCAGCTGCCATATCACTGAACAAAGTTTTCTCTACAATGTATGCAGCTGATTAAAATCTTTAATTTTTGCTGCTAAAGGCACAGATCTTAGGTGTAAGATATTTAGTGGATTTTTACATACATATCCACCCATGTGACCACCATTCAAATTTAGGTATGCAACACTCCTGGCACCACGGAAGCCCTCCCTGTGCTCCCCTCTGCCTCCGTGTGTTCCGGTCAAGAAGCTATTCTGACTTCTATCACCACAGATTCATTTTGTTTGTTCTCAAACTCTGTAGAAATGTGATTTCAATTATTTTGAACAGAAATTTACATTTACAAAAATCTTAGTCTTTTTGCTCCAGGAGGTGGGGAACTCCCATCCCTAGGCCTGCCCACACTGTACTTTATGGACTTGATCATCAGGCAAAGTGGTTTTGGATTAAGTGGCCCTGGAGCCTGGCCCAGCCCAGCTCCTTAGCCAGCGGGGCAGCCTCCCGTCACAGCATGAAACCCACCCCTACCCTTCCCTCTCTGCAGGGCTTCGGTGACCTGGCGGGGGAGCACTGGCTAGGCAATGAGGTGGTGCACCAGCTCACCAGCAGGACAGCCTACTCTCTGCGCGTGGAGCTGCAAGACTGGGAGGGCAACGAGGCCTACGCCCAGTATGAGCATTTCCAGCTGGGCAGCGAGGGGCAGCTGTACAGGTGGGCTTGGGGCCCAGGCTGGTGGGCTGGCCAGGGTCCTGGGCTAGTGGCTGTAGAGTCTGCACTACGGGTCAGTCCCTGGGCGTCTCCTGTTCCTACCATCTGTCCCACATTTGGGCACACGTCACGGGTTCTGGAGGCAGCTGGTTAACACTCAGCACGTCCTAGCCACTGGGCGGGGTGGAGAGCATGTCGCTGACGTTGCCGGCCTAGGAGCAGGAAAGGGCCTTCTAAGGTCAGTCATCCCGAGTCAGCCGTATTACTGAGGTCCAGAGCAGGGAGTCCAGGCTATCCATGCTGTGGGGGTGAGGTGGACAGGTCCCTGGGCAGGGAATCAGGGGACCTGAGCTCATTCTGGCTCTGTTTCAGCTCACTTTGTGAACTTGGGCAAGTCAGCGTTCTGGCTTCTCTGTACCTCTGCTTGTTAACTGCAGGATGGGCTTAAATAGAAGTATAATGTAAAATCAGCAAGGTCTCCCACACCTCCCTTGGCTTGGTTCTTAGCTCTGTTTAGGAAAAGAAAAGAGCATTTATTGAGCACCTACTGTGTTCCCAAAGCATATTATTCCATTTAGTCTTCCTACAACACTCTGAGGTAAGCATTGCTGTACCTGCTCTAGGGATGTGGGAGCAGGCACAGAGCTTAAGTCCCCTGCCCAAAGTTACAAGTTAGGTAGAGCTTGGACTTGAACTCAGATCTCACTGCTACCAAAACTCGGGGTGTTTCCACTACATGATGTTGCCTCTCTGAGAAACTCAAAGTTCTCTTTGAACAGGACAGGATTGAAATCATAGACCACACTCACGGGTCTGCAAAGGACCTCACGGTATCATCTCGGTCTTCCCATGATGCTAGAATCTCCTCCACAGCCGTAGTCATCAGCCAGCCAGGAATCCCTCCACTGACAGGAAGGTCACTTCCTCCAAAGGAATCTCTGGAGGCTCTCTGTCCTCCTACATTATGTCTAATTTCAACTTGAGGAGCTTTTCAATGAGTGCCCTGCACTTCTCTGGTCTTTTTAAATGCTCCTGGATCCTCCAGCAACGTTGTCCTGACATCTTTATGGGGACCCACTCCAATCTGATAATAGTCCTCCTTAAACTGCAAGCTTCACAGCTGAATGGACCATGCCCTGGGTTCGGGCTAGGCAGGGCAAAGCTGGATGCTCCTCTACTCCTCAAGGTAACCAGTGAGTCATCACAACACACTGCTGACTCCCCTTTAAGCCACCAAAGCCAAGGCTTAAGTTCTGACTCCCTGAGCGACCTTAGTGACCTCCCTGAGCAACCCTAAAGGACTACCTCCACCTTCTCATCTGTAAAATGGGTGCCCTGCATACATCTGCTTCATTCAACATGTTATGAAGCTCAAATGAGATACTGCCCATAGAGCATTAACACAGTGCCTGGCACTTAGTAAGTGCTCAGCAAATAATGTTGTAATTGCTGTCCCCGAGGCAGCCTTAACACACTCAGCAGGCCTGCTCTGTGTGAGTTCACTGCTGTTCTTATCCCCAGTGCCTGGTTCACAGTCCAGTGTGTCCTGTGTGTCTGGGGGTGAGCAGGTCCACAGGCAGTCCCACACTCCCAGGAAGACAGTAGCTGCCTAGGGGGGTAGTGCAGGGGCACAGAGATGCTTATGCAAACAGGGAGGACTCCCAGGAGGAGGAAAGGCCTATAAATGGTAGGTATCTTCCAGACAGAGAGAGACTAGGAAGGGCATCAGGCAGAGGGGATGAGTTACATCCAACTGGTGACAGATACCCCAAACCTGAGCAAGTCTGTATCAAGATCATAAGAATCCCTGCTCATTCAGAAAAAGCTTGGGAACCAGGGTGGGGGGTGAGGGGGGTAGAGATCCTAGAAGACACAGACGTGGAAACTGCCAGAGAAGAGCCAAGGAGATGGTGACAGAACAGAGGCCGGCCTCCATGCCTCTGCCAGAGAGTCAGCTGGCTGGTGAGATGGGGAGCATCCCCCGCAGGGAAGCCGAGTCAGCCCTGGGGCCTGGGGGTCAGGGGCAGGAGGGGCGCCTCTAGGTATCAGACACAATAATGGGGGCCTTCTAGAGCCTGGCTGAAGCACACGCATTAACCCGCAAGAGGAAGTGGCCCACAGAGCACGGGAGAAGAGGCACAGACAGGCACACACACACACAGATGCCAGGTGTGTGCCCCCCAGAGGTGCCCACATAGCCAGATTTGCTTACAAAGGCAGGATCCACACAGAAACCCACACAGAGGTATCCAGGGGCGTGCAGGTATATACATGCCCGTGTGGAGGGTGATGGGAGGGGGCACTGGGCCTACAGAGTGCCCGGGCTATAAGTGCAGAGCTACACAAACAGACACACACACCATCAAACATAGAGACAGATTCCAGGGCACACACCAGGACCCACCATAGCTCTTGCTGCACAAACGTCAAACACACACACACACACACACACACACACACACACGTGCAGGCATGAAGAACTGTACCCAAATGCTCATACCAGTAGACACACAGACCTCACCCACAGATCCACAGACACGTGGAAACATACCTTGTGTGTCTAATAACTTGGGAATACCCAGAGACTTGTGTATTTGAGGTCCCTGGGCTTGAGCTGTGAACATGTTCAAAGTGCCTCTGAACGATGGGTCACGTGGGGCTTCCTGGTCCCTGACTTGAGAATTTTCCAAAGGTCACAAGATTCCCCATGCTAATTCCCACAGGAAAAGGGAAGAAAGGCAGAGCCCAAGCTGAGGACTTGGGAGACATTTAGGGAGGCCGGTGCTGCTGGAATGATCTCGTGAGACCATTGGCTTTGTCCAGCCATGATTCCACTCACCTCGGACTGAAAGGGACCCCCAAACCTCAGCCTGAGCTCCAAGACTGACCTTGAACTGACATCACTGAAACATCAAGGGGAGCCTCTAATGGCCACAGAGAGAAGCCAGGCCAACCTGCCATCCCCTCCCGTGGGAGCTCCTAGCCAGATGGGCCCCTTTACAGGGAGGTTGCGACACCAATCCCATAAGTCCCAGGCTACCCGTTTAAGGGCACAGTTAGGGTTTCCCAGCTGGGGCACCTGGACCCTAATGGCCATGCCACTGTGTCACTACAGACAGGCAGAGCCCACGGTGGGAGGCGCAGGGACTGAGCCAGTCCCCACGCCCAGGTCCCACGTTCCCTCTTGATCCCACCAGTGGCATCTCCCAGGCCCTGCCCTGAGGGAACCAGAGCTGCCCCAAGCTGCTCTCGCTGCATCTGGTGTCCATTTTTCTCCACCCTTAGGACCCTCAACCCCCAGGGCTGCAAGCACCCAATACCCTCTCCCGTCAGGCTGAACAAGAGCCCATGGCGGCTGTGTGTCCCGAGTGGGACCACAGGGACAATGGCTAACAAGCACTAACATGCAGCTCTGCCCTCCTCAACCCCGGGGGCCTTGGATCTCAATAACACCATGAAGTCTTCACGGGTAACAGGACTATCGTTACCATTTCACAGAAGGAGAAACTGAAGCTGACAGGCAACACAGTCTGCCCACGGTCATACCGTTGGCGAGTGGCAGAGCTGGGATTCGAATCCAGGCATTCTGTCCCCAGAGTTCATGGTTGTAATTGCCACACAGCCTTGGCCGTGCCCACCAGGGTCTCATAGCCTGGCAGAGAAAGAGAAACCCCCAGCTGGCTGCAGATGTGCAAGTCACAGGGCTGGGGGTGCTGCAAATCCATGTAGGCTGGTGTGGTCAGGGAAGGCTTCCTGGAGGTGGCAGGCTGGGGTTGCAGGGTGGTCAGCTGGGGAGCAAAATGCACACAGCTCCCCAGGCAGACCACCCTAGGCTGGGAGCTGGCTCTCACTGTCTTTCATTCTGAGGTGTAGGGCAGTCTCCCTTGGTTCTTGGGATCTCTGTTTCTTCATCTGTAAGATGGAAATAAGAGGGTGTTGTGAGGATGCCAGGAGCAGGAGCTAAGCCACAGAATGCCTAGCACATGGAAGGTGTTCAAAAAAATGTTGGTCATTGTTCTCATTATTAGTATTATTATTTTGATCCTATTCACTCCTGTCCAAAACTCAGGTTCAGTGAGATGGGGGAGGCCTGGCACACAGCGGGTGCTCTGTCCCTGGGAGGCAGCAGGCAGGGAGGGCAACCCAGGGGCCCGGACAGCCCAAGCAGCCTAGACTGGGGCTCCCCCTCCCAGAACAACTGGAGGGGGAGCCCCAGTCTCAGCAAAGCCTCTTGGGTGGGGGGAGACCTTTTTTAACCAGTCCTGACCTAACTCTAGATCCATCTCCCATCACCACCTCCGGGTGGCCTCCAGGCTTTCTCTGAGCGGGTACAGCGGGTCAGCAGGGCGCCAGAGCAGCCTGGTCCTGCAGGGCACCAACTTCAGCACCCGTGACGCAGACAATGACAACTGCCTCTGCAAGTGTGCCCAGATGCTATCTGGAGGTGGGTGCGGGGGGCTGAAGCCCCATGTGTCCCCAGGCTCACCTGGCAGGACAACCCTATTACCTCCCCATCCAGGTCCTGGGTGTCCAGGTATTGTCGGGAAAAGTGTGCAGGTGGGGTCTCACCCACCTGCACCCCACCTGCATGCTGGCCTGGCCACACTCCTCCATCCCTTCCCCTACCAAGTCCTTGAGGTTCCCTTAGGGTTTCCCCTGATTCTAACACAGGCACCACGGATATTCCTCTGAGACTGGGCTAGGGGAACACTGAGGGTGGGGTGCGATGCCTGATCAGTCCCAGTCCCAAGCCAGAGAATCTGCTCCCCAGGCCGAGCGGGACCAGGATGAGGAGACCTGGGCAGGGGAACAAGGGGCAGCTCTCCACCAACCCTGGTTCCAGTGGTGTTCCTTGGGAAGGACAGAAGTCAGAGAGAGGAACAGCAGGACATAGAGACATGGAGCAGTGGACACAGAGAGCTCTGTGGGGATAGAAGTCCAGAGGGGGAGATAGAGAAAGACAGATGGACACGGTATGTGAGAGACAGACCAGGAAAGGCAAGGAAACACAGACCAAAGAGAGAGACAGAGACATCAGACGGAGCCCCAAAGAGATACTTGTCACAAGCTGGGAGCTATCGAGGTGCTGCCTTCAGTGGCTGCAGGCTGAGCAGAGGGTCTGCCCTTGACACTCGGCCCCATCCCCTGAGAGGTGGCTTCCCAGAGGAGGCAGCAGCCCTGATGAGTCCCTGGGGTGGGGGACTGCCCTCTGCCCACTGGCTGGCCCCCACCTCCCCAAGCACGTCCCTCTCCCTCCCCCAGGATGGTGGTTTGACGCCTGCGGCCTCTCGAATCTCAACGGCATCTACTACCCAGCTCGCCACCACGTGCGCAAGCTCAACGGCATCCGCTGGCACTACTTCCAGGGCCCCAGCTACTCGCTGCGGGCCACTCGCATGATGCTGCGCCCTGTGGGCATCTGAGAAGCAGATGCGCCTGGAGGTTGGACCCAGAGGAAGAGCCGGGACTGGGCATCTCCTGGAAAAGCTGGACTCCAAACATGGGACAGAGTACTGGGCGTTGTCCTGGGTCCCGTGGGTCCCCTGAGCCCAGCCGTCCTTGCCCAAAGTTAGAGGGTCCACTGCCTCCCTGTTCCCCTCCAGCTGAGAAATGGTGGGTCATGGGGAGATCCTGCCTCTATAGTGCCCCTCTGTCCTCTTCCTTTCTGTCTCCTACACGGGTCTCCTGCCAGCTTGAGGGTCACAACACACTGAATGAGCTGAGAACAGAATTCTTTTAGGTGTTCGAAGAAATACATGACTAACAGTCCACTCCTCCGAGGCCCCAGCATCTGGAGCTCTGACCTGGTCTCTTGGAGGCGTCAGAAGATCTAACAAGGATTTCTTTACCCCCAGCATGTCCTAGAATATGTTCTGGAGAGAATAACTCAGGCTCCCCTCAAAAAGTACCTATGTTCAAGTGAGGGAGGGAAACACCTGGTTAAATCAATATGAACAGGCATTCTTAGCTGCAGGACTTGTCAGAGACTTTAGAGAGGTCATATGCCTTTGTTTAAAGTGGGCAGCTTTCTTCAAGTGTCCTTATTTGAAAACAGGCCCTCTTTATCCCAGAACATCTAAGATGCCCTTGGAAAAAGTTAGTCAAGTGTGACCAGAAGGAGTCCCTTCTCCCCACCCCCATCTGCACTCACCCTTTCTAACTACAAGAGACACAGTGACGATCTCAAACAGCCTCTAAAAACAACTGGAAGAAGCTTTGGTTTAAAGAAGACACATGCCACCTCTGAAGAAGGGTCTAGAACTAAGTTTCCAGTCTGTGCTTTGGGCTGGGGTCCTGCTAGGTTCCTTCTGGCCCTACGAAGCCAGATCTCTGCCTGGAGGCTACACTCTCAGCACTCCCTGTGATCCTAGCTCACTTCAGCTCAAGTTCAGGAACTATTAGGGACTATCCACTCTGCCTTGGGCAGGACGCCAGTCTTCATGTCCAGAACCTTCCAGCCTCCAAGCCAGGACACTAAGCCCTCTCCTCCCACCTGATCCAACAGTGATGCTACAGCTGGGGGTTCGAGGGAGGTGGGAGTGGGGGGCAGAGCCGGCCTTGGCCTGGGTCTGGAAGACCAGGGGCTCCCTATGAGCTTCCATCAGAGGTCAGGGTCAGAGAAGGGCCACAGCCACTCTGCCACCCACTCCCATCACAGTCACCCTCCTCCGGCCTGATGAGACCAGCACTGCCCTGCCGTCTTCAGCCAACACCTAGACCAGCCGAGACTATCCTGCTCTCCCACTAGGGTACGCCTCTGTCTTCCGGAGGGTTTCTCCTGGATAAGGCTGGAGTGATGGAAATGGGCCACCTTTTCCCACCTGTCCTTGAGTCTCACCTCAGACAGTCCCCCAAGCAAAGCCAGCAGCACAGATTAACGCTGATCTCTTTGAAAAAAACAAAGAGGTGGTTGCCAATAGTGGACTTGCGGGCATGAGGGGGAAAGTACCAAGGGACAGGGTGCTGCCCAGAAGGCCCACGTGGCCTCGCACACCATTTGCTAGCCAGGCTTTTATTTAGCGTCTACTGTGTGCCCGGTCATGCTGTGGGTAGGGCTCTGGAATTGGACAGACCTGCTTCAGCTCCTGGACTTGAGGCCCGTGGCTCAGCCTCTCAAGGCCTCAGTTGCCTTGTCTGTGAAATGGAAATGACGCTCCCTCCTGGCTGGGCCGTGGCAGGAGGCGATGAAACTGTGTATGTCAGCTTTGTAACAGGGCTCGGCACGAGCAGGTGCCTAATAAAATTTAGTGCCCAAAAAGGAAAGTGGGGTGAGGAAATTCACCCCTAAGTGCATGCCCCCCTTCTTCCAAACCCATGTAAGGTGAGCATTTGTTTTTGAATCCGTGGCATTTGTGTTTGCACTGTGGAGTGTATGGGCCAGGTGTGTGCTGGAGAGGAGGTGAAGGCAGAGCTGGGAGCCCCAGAGACAGACCCCTCTGGGTGGGCTGAGTCCCAAATCCTGGTCTGTGCTTATGTTCTACAAAAGGCTGAGAAGCTGATTTGGGTTATCCTCAGATGCCTGTTGTTAAATATTCATCCTTCCTTCCTACCTCCCTTCCCCCTCCATGCCAGGAATCTCCAGCACAGGAGATAGAAAGGAACTGGTCCTAAGGAATGGATTGACTCACATACCAGGAAGTCCAGGGGTGGGTTCAGGCACCATTAGATCCAGGGGCTCAACTCATACCTGTCTTCACCTCTCAGCCCTGCATCCACCATGTTGACTTTACTCTCAATCAGGTTTTCTCCTGACAGGTGGCTCCAGCAGCCCTAGGCTCATATCCTCCCAGGTGAGCATCCCTAAGGCAGAGAGTGCCCCTGTCCCAGTGATTCTGGCAAAGGCATGATTTTCTCCAGCTGGGACTGGTCCTCCTGTGCCCATCTCTGCATTTATCACTGGGCATCTGATTGACCAGACCTGGGCCACCTGATCATGCCTGGAACAGGGCTGGGGTCAATCCCACCCAAGTCACATGGACTAGCAGTTCACAGGCACTATTTCCAGGCTGACAATCACTTTTCCTCCTTCCATCTCTCTGACTCCCATTTCCCTTCTCTCCATCTCTGCACCCTCTCCCATCCTCCTCGCCCCCAAGCTTCAGCTCATCCCAGGGTTGCCCCAAACTATCAAGGACACAGCTGTGGCCTGTCTAGGGATGTCAGACCCTGGTTCGCTGTCCTGGCTGTGTCCCTGAAACAGAGTTCCTCTCCCCCTCTGAGCCTATGTTTCCCATCCGCACAATTAGGACAGAGCAGCTCCTGACCTCTGTAAGCCTCGGAAGTGATGCTGACCCACAGCGGCTGTGGACAAGACCAGTGGAAGGACTCCAGGCGGTACAATGTCCCTGTGGGGGCATGGCTGGTGTGGCCCTGGCCCTGGCTGGATCTCCTCTGGGCCCCTACATGTAGGACCTGGCTTCTGGGATACGTGACTCTGCAGGTTCCTATGCAGAATCCTTTTCACCTCTCCCTACACCAACCCAGCAGTCTCCCCATTGTAGTGATGAAGAAATTAGAGCTCATAGAGGGAAAGGCTTTCAGCCAAGGTGGCACAGCCAAGTGGACTTGTATCTATGAGCTGCCTCTCTTGTCCAGGCCTCTCTGGGACATCTTGGCACCAACCACAAAAGTTCTGGAGTAGGGTCCCCTCTCCTTATCTCAAGGACTGAAGGAAATTTCTGGAAAGCTCTCCAAGACCAGTCTGCCTTTACCACTGGCACTCGATCACATTGTTCCTAAGGTCTCTGCATGTCCCCAGCAAAAGCAGCTTCCACACTGGGGGAGAGTCACTGTGCACACTCCAGAGCTATGGCCAAGGTCAAAGGTGGCCCTTTGCAGGGAGTAGGGGAACAGCCAGCATCAGGATGGTCTGTCGTGCTGGCTGGGGGAATTTGAGTCCATTTTCGAGATTTCCCTCCACCTTGATGTCCATGCGAGCCTTCACGGCTTCCATTTAAAGATGCTTCCGAAAACTAACAACATTGCCTTAGCAACAGCAGCAGCAGCATTTTCCGAAGGGCAGCGCTCCGGAGAATGGAGGCTGGTCTAGGCCGCACCCAGCATAAATGTGTTACTTTCCTGTGAGGTTGCACAACAGAGGTTCCCGTGTGTCCTGAGGTCAGGGAAGTCCAATGGCCTTTAACACCCGACACATTCCTGCCCTACCCCGTGAGGACACTCAGAGCCTCCCCTTTCCCTGTCTGCACAGTGGGGAGCCTGGGGGCTGGTTCACAGGGAAGTCATGTGGATTCCAGGTGATGGTGGACATCCAGGCCTGGAACATTCTCTCGTGCAGTCACTCATGCATGCATTTATTCGTTCACATATGCTGAGGATCTGTCTGGGTCAAGGCCAAGCTAAGTGATGGGGACAGAGCCAACAAGACAGTCCTGTACTCACAGAACTTAACAGGCTAGAGAGAGAGGCTGGCCCAATCCAATTTTTTTTTTTTAATTTGTAAAACTAAATTGACAATATATTGTAAATAAAGAGAACAAACAGGAAGTAGAGACCGATTACAGAAGGTCCAACTTCAGGTGATCAGGGGAAGTCCTCTCTGAAGAGGTAGTACCTAACTGGAGGATTATATAGTGAGGAAGCCAGGGAAGGGTGGGTTCACTAGGAGGAACAGCAGGTACAAAGGCCCTGAGGTGATCACGGGGAACTACAAGGGGGCCAGTGTGACTGCAGTCACAGTGAGCAAGGGGGAAGGGGTGGGACAGTGTGCCTGCCCAGCATCTACATCAGAGATCACTCCCCATTCCAACGCCTGCCAGGGACTGAATCCGGTCACCACTCTGCCTGAGTCATTATGGACTGGAAGCAAGTTCCTGCCCCTGACTAAACCTCAGTTTCTCTGTAAAATACAGGAGAGGGAGCACCTCCATCTGAAAGTCATCCAGATCCTGTTATTGTATAAAACTGAGTCAAAGGCCTTATTGTGTGCACTGCCCTGTGCTGGGTGCCAGTGGGGGAGTCAGAAGGAGGAAAAGAAAGTAAGGGACTTACCCTTGCACTGAATGGGAGGTTGGGAGTGCCTCCTCCACGTGGTCAACCGGGGGGCTTGGGTGGGAACATGGGGCACTGTCTGCCTCCTCTGTGCTAGTTTACATGCACCACCTCTGAATCCTAATGGGCTCTAGTATTACCCCATTTTACAGATGTGGAAACAGAGGCTCAGAGAAACACAGTGCCTTGCCTATACTTGCACAGTGACTTAGGGTCTAAGCTAAGCTGCTGTAGAAAGAGGACCCCAAAACTCAGCAGGTTAAGTATTTTTCTTCTCTGTAAAGTCTGGAGCTAAGCAGTCCATGGCTGGTGGGCAGCTCTGCCATCCTCAACCTGAGCTTCCCTCTCCAGCCAGGGCAGCTGCAGCCAAAGTTGCCATTTCATACCTGGCAGGAAGGGAAACAGGCCGTCCAGCACAGCTTCCCCTCCAGCACTTACCCTCTTTACTCCAGACTCATCTTTGGCTCAGAATATCCCAGCAGTCTCCCTAAGGGCTCCCTCTCCAGGTTTGCTCCTTCCTGGCCTACAGTCATGTCACTTCCCCTGCCTGAAACCTTCAGCGGCTCCCCAGTACCCAGTGCTCAGCCTGCGATCAGGGCTCTTCACCACCCAGCTCAAGTATTTCTTCAGCTCCACCTCTGCTCTGTTCTTACACTGGAGTTCAGAGGCTTTGGGCCTGAAGAATTCCTTCTGGGTGCCAGGCGGCCATCAGTTGTCCTGGAGGATGGTCCATTTCCACTGGACTTTCACATCCCCGTGGCACAGAATTCTGGGCCCGGCATGCGGTGGCTACTGTCTGTGGGTAACACAATGTATCAGTTCAACCTTCTGGTTCTGCCAAGAGCTGGGCCCAAGTCCACTTCTGCTCTTTACAAGGATAACTTAATAGCCTCCAAAACCCCCGTGAGGGCTTAGTAAATTGCCAGGCACCCAGCAGAGAACCTGTACATAGTAAACGCTCTGCGATTTGTCTCCAATTATTTCTCTGTGCCAGCCACCTCAGGAAGCGCTTCCCTTATTCGCTCCACGGAAGCCCCTTAATGACCTTACGGGATAGGTACCATTATCATCTCTCCCCTTTTCCAATGGGGAAACTGAGACCCAGAGAGGTGAAGTCACTTTGCCAAAGTCACACAGGAAGAATTTACTGAGGTGGGTCGGGACCCAAATCCCCGGCTATAGGGGTTGCTTCACCTGGGTCTCATGTTCCCAGTGACCAGGGTTCAAGGAAAATAAATAAATGCATAAGCAGTTGCCAGCTGCCAGTGCTTGAAGCTCACACAGGAAAATAAAGTCCTGCTGTCCCTGCCTGATGTCCACCCCACCCCCACCCCAGGGCAGGGACAGGACCTTCCTTCCTGCTTCTGACTTCCTGATTTCCCTGTCCCGGCTTCAGAACACATGGACACAGGCTCACTGCCCCCAAATTTTTTCCGAGTAGGACTTAGCTTTCTTCCTTGTCCACCTCCTGGACCTGCCCCCTGTGGCCTGGGCAGGGGAGGGACAGGGACAGGCCACTTTAATCTGGGGAGACTGGAAACCTCCTGGCTGGCCGAGGTCTCTTCCCTCCACCTCCACCGGCCCATTGGTGTCTGGGAGAGGCGTCAGGACCACAGCTGCCCAGGTCTGGCTGTGTCCACAAATGAGAAGACTGGACCAATCCCTTCTCTCTCTGGACCCCACTCTCCTCATCTGTTAAAAGGGAGTGAGCAGCCCAGCTCTGCTTGCTTCATGGGGTTGTCATGAGATTCAAATAAGATGGTCCCTTCCCTCATTCAGTATTTACCTCTATGTGCCAGCAGCTGTGCTAGGCATTGGGGACATGGCCATGAACAAGACAGACCGACACTTGTCCTCACGTGCTTATAGTCTGGGGTGGGTAGAAAGAGACAGAAATTCAATACAAATTAACCAAACCACCTAGAGTACAATGAATGTGAGAGGGGAACCATATGGTACTATTGGAGCAAAGGCAGCAACTAGCTGGGGAAGGCATCCTTATAGGATGTAGAAGAGCTAGGTGAAGAGGGAAAAAAAAGGGTTCCAGGCAGAGGTGACAGCATATGCAAAGGCCCTGGGATCATGACCTGAGCCAAAGGCAGACACTTAATGACTGAGCCACCCAGGCACCCCAATAAATAAATCTTAAAAAAAAAAAAAAAAAACTCAGACAAATGAGAGCTTCCAGAGCTCCTGCTCTGAGACAACACTTTCGTCTAAATTACTCATGTGGAAGCATTTATGGGGGATGCACA